ACAAGTCTTTATCCAGCATAAACACACAAATAGATAACGCAGAATGAGAAAATACAAAGCTATATGAAGCATGCCAATAGTACGTAGACGATCATCATGTTGAAGTCGTCTCATTGCAAATTAAAGGTAACACATTAAAGCAAAGATACGCTAAACAGTAAATATTATGCATGAACCGATAGGAAAGCAAACATGGATAGGATAAACCAACACACGGCAGTTTTCATCAACCCTTCCTTGAAGTGTCAAATTTGACAATGATCCCCCCACCCCCACATGTATGGCGCTATTGCGTGTCGCATGTGCAGCTCAGTGGTTCTGTTGGGGCGATAAGTTCTTTCTGTGAACATACTCTCAAAGCATTTCAAGTGCCCATGACTATTTATCATATCACAACCTGCATAGGTATTTGCATTCCAATATCCCCTACGTTTTTAAAGAGTATATATGGAATACAGACCAGTGTTATGTGGTCAGAATTTTTAGGTGATGGTGGAGGGCGAGGCAAAAAGTTCAAAGCCTACTGGTGTCCTTTACATGAAACGAAGATGAATTCGACGACAATGTGTTCTCAACTTCTCCGAGACACCACTTATCTTAAGACTATATATGCTTTCAGAAAGATTTTGACTGTCGACGCTGAATTTAAGCAGTTTTTGAATCTTGACAAAGAATTTAACCAGATTTTATCTCTTGGTGCTGAATTAACCATATTTCATCTATTGACGCTGAATTTAACCAGATTTTGTCTCTTGACGCTCATTTTAACCAGATTTTATCTCTTGGTGCTAATTAACCAGATTTCATCTATTGACGCTGAATTTAACCAGATTTGGTCTCTTGACGCTCATTTTAACCAGATTTTATCTCTTGACGCTGAATGTAACCAGATTATGTCTCTTGACGCCCAGTTTAACCAGATTTTCTATCGACGCTGTTTGTAACCAGATTTTGTCTCTTGACGCCCAATTCAACCGGATTTTATCTATCGACGTTGAATTTAACAAAATTTCTTCTATTGACACCGGATTTAACAACATTGGGTCTCTTTGTGCTGAATTTAACCAGGTTGTGTCTCATAACGATCAATTTAACCAGATTTTTTTCTCATGACGATGAATCTAACCAGATTTTTTCTCATGACGATGAATCTAACCAGATATTGTCTCATGACGATCAATTTAACCAGATTTTGTCTCATGACGATCAATTTAACCAGTTTGTGTCTCTGGACGTTGCATGTAACCAGATTGTTTCTTTTCAACCAGATTTTTGTCAGTAATTGTACCATGATAAGCACCCAAATTAGAACCACTTCATCCAGGTAATATTGTTAGAGTAAGTAAAGATGTTATTTGGTCTGATAAAGCTATTGTTATTAAACAGGTGACGCCTTGATCTTAACAATCTAAATTACAAATGGCAATATTTGTAGAAGATTTTTTCAAATTCGGTTGACAGTTCCGTTCAAAGAACAATCATAATAATTACGGCGTGGATTCAAATGTTAATGATAAAAATAGCTGTTCTTGTCAAGCCTTCCGTGCTGCACCACTGACAAAGTGGAAACCACGCCGGAAAATTTCGATGAACTTTCTCGGCCAACACCGGAAGGGGAAGGCCGCGACCTTCAAACTAGCGAACCAGCGTATTACCCATTTAGCCACCGTAGCTCTCCAATGTCAAAAAATATTCGTAGAAACCGGTTAATGATTGTTAAACATACATTATGCAAGATCTAAATCTGCCTCGAGCATTTCTTTTCTTTCGTCCTTAAATGTTGTATAAATTATTATTTGGACATTTTAATAACTTGCCAAGACCATAATCAACTCTCTAGACCATCGGATTCTTGGCAACCCCCTGGATTAAGGGCCTTGAAGCTTCATTATATTAATAGCAGACCCGCCTCTTAACGACTTTTTCGAAGTTTACATTAAACAAACATTATGCAAGAGCAAAATCGGCCTATTGTAGGTCTTTCTTTAGGCCTGAAATGTTATAAAAACTATTAATTAGACATTAATTAACTTATCCAGACCATAACCAGCTCTCGATGTCAAGGCTTTCCTGCGATATTTGTTGGATTACAGTCCGATTTGCTGCAAAACTTTCCTTCGTGATTAACGATTAACTGGATAATCAAGACTATTAGTTTTGTCTTATCGACTTCAGTAATGATGATCGAGGCTAAGCGGAACTTTCATCCGCTTAGTTCTCGGTACATAGTGGATCAATTTGACTGAAATTTTCAGCAAGTTGCCTTTACATTATGTAGTTTTTAACTATTATAGTGAGAACTGCCAACTCGTTATCTAATCTCCCATAATGTATCTTTAATATTACCATAGTAAATTACCGGAGTCTAATAGGTCGGGTTCAATGTTTGCGTTCACGTTGACAGTTGGCTAAAATGGTTTAATTCCTTAAAACAATTTTTTAGCGTCATTACCCTTATATGGTGCAGCACCAAGGGGCAGTGGCTAGTCATTCCAATATACATCTATTTCTGGACTTAAATTGGTTTAGCTAATTTACGAGCAGTCTCGATAAGAATAATAAAATCGCCCACGTGATTAATAGGAGGTAACTCTTTTTTTCATATTGGATGCAGACCACAATTTATTTCCTCTTTACCAAAAAAAGCGAGAATCTTCTCAGGTTCTACCATTTAGTCAGATTTGTTTCTATCAAACACAAGATTGCATATGACAAAAATGAAATGATATATTTCTGCTAATTAGGACAGGCATATGCAACTTAATCTAACAGACTCCTAAAGAAATTATGCACAAACAGTGGTTCTGCAGTCTGCTGTTATTTTGATTACAATCTGATTTGGCTATTAGGTGAATATTATTGAAGGGGTTTGTTTAGATTGATCCTAATTAAAACATATCTTCTATTATCAGAGGGGGGTTGGGTGGGCGAATGGTTAGCGTGTGCGCCTTGTACCATAAGGTCTGCCATTGAGTCAACTGGCGTCGTTTCGAATCCCTGGTTGTACGTGACAAGGAGTAGGGTCGCCTGTCAAACATCGTGGGTTTTCTCCTGGTCCTCTAGTTTCCTCCCACTGCTAAAGACCCCTACGCGCAAGCAAATTTTTGAAATAAAATAGAATCATGTTAGTACCGAAATGACCTAGTTTGTGTCGAGTGGACGTTAAACCCCATATCCCTCCTCACTCTCTTCATCCAAAATTATCACTCCTTGACATAGACTACACCATCCACACAATGAATTTGTTAATGAATGTTTTGGGGGTTTTATTTAACCATAATGTCAATCTGTTTCACAGAGAATTACGAGTCTCGTATAATATCTCTGTCATAGATGACTGCCTTAACACGTGCTGTCACAGCACGCGGTGTGAATCATTGGCTGAATGGTGCGTGCATTGTTTACATAAGACATAACTGCTTCGGAGAGAATGCTGCATTTTAGTCATTTTAATACTCATTTACACTAAATCGGAAATAATTTTTACCTACAAATACGTCAAACGCCTTTATTTATTTTTCCAATATATACAAAAAATGTTTTAGAATTTAATTTGTCGCAGGAAAAAAGTTAATATTTCTAGCTCATTAAGCCGCATCAATGTCATCCTTATCAGTGGTTGTCGCGGCCAAGCAAATATTCACTGCGGATCAGTGTGCCATAATGTGTCTAAAGTTTTAGACCCAGTACGTACTACGAAAAATAAAGGGAGGCAACTAAGTCCATATCCCTCACAGCTCATTAACAAACCACCTCGTAATAACATAATGCAGTATTTTAATGGATGTTTTAAAACATTCTACCATGATGCGACTGCCTCTACCATCAGAATAAAACATGTATTATTCCGACTAGACAATTACTAATCGTTTTGTAACTGGTACTCCGATTGCCTCCCACTGCTAAAGACCCCTATACGCAATTATTGAAATAAGGATTGGGAGCCACGGTGGCTAAGTGGGTAAGACACTGGCTCGCTAGTCTGGAGACTGGAGGTCAGGTGTAAGATCCCTGCATTGCCGAGAAAGTTCATTCAGATTTTCCGGCTTGGTTCCCCCCTTGTCAGTGATGCAGGACGGAGGGCCTGACAAGGACAGCTGTCTAGTCGTTTGGATGGGATGATAAACTGAGGTCCCGTGTACACATAGGTGTGCACGTAAAAGATCCTTTGACAGAATTCTATATAAGAGTAGCCTGTAGTGCCGCTGTCCAGGCAAAAGTTCCCTCATAGCACACTGTATGGCATATGCCCGTCTTCATTAGCCCAGTTCGGAGAAGAACAGTAGGACGTTAAACTCTATTTCATGTTGAACAATATGTTGGTCACGAAATGACCTAGTTTATTATCAGAACCACAGAAAAACTGAAGGTTTTAGTGATACTCTCAGAAGCCACAGTGGTGAGGTGAGTAATATGCTGGCTCGCTCCCAGTATTAGCCCAGAAAGTTCATCAGGATTTTCCCATATGGCTCCCTCTTGTCAGTAGTGCAGGATGGAGGGCCTGGCAAGGGACAGCGTATATTCTTTCTGATGGGAAGACATAAGGCGTCCCACATACACATGGCGAGTACGTAAAAGATCCCTTGGCAGTTGGAATTATTCGATATATGAGTAGGCTGTAGTGCCACTGTCCGGACAAAATTTCCCTCATAGCCCATTTTATGGCGTACGGAGCAGAACAGTAGGATTTTAAACCATTTTCATTTCAAATTAAACAATGTATATAGATTATTGTAGACCCTTCTTCATCCATTTTAAGGGACGTTGAATGGCCGAATGGTTAGCGCGTGCGCAAGCCTGTCATTGTCCAACCTCGTGGGTTTTCTCCGGGTGCTCCGGATTTCTCCCACTGCTAAAGACCTCTACGAGCAAGCAAATTATTAAAATAAAATTGAACCACATGTTAATCCCGAAATTACCTAGTTTGTGTCGAGTCGATGTTAAACTTCATTTCTTTCTCTCTGCATCCATTTTAAGAAATCCAAATAAATAAATCATGATTTATATGAGAATACTTTTAATGTATAATCTGACCACACCCATTCTCTATTTAACCAATACACTATCTGTGTTTGCCGTTAAAAATAAAGTCATATGGACTAACCCAAGTACTACAACCTAAATAGTTTTTTCTAATACAATCCTTGAAATTAAACGGATTAATATTATTCTCTTCAATCCACTTCTCATGTTCTTTCTCTTTTTCTAGAAACTCACGATCAACAACGCGAGCTTTGAACGGAAGGATCTTCGCGATTTGATTCATAAATGGATAAACTTCCTTAAATTCACATTTTCCTCCAACTTCTATAATCATCCGACCGGCTTTAACAGGAAAAACATAGTGATCGATCGGACCTTTTCCGCTTCCCATTCTCTTGCCTTGACCTTTCTTACTGACGGATTTCCAGGGTTGGCTGATCCGCCACATAGCAAACATACGTGAATCGTCCATTTTTCTGTTGAGGGTCATTCTTATCATTTCTAGATGTCCCCATCTTAATTTACCACCACCTGTCGCCTGCAATGTTAAAGATACATTATGGAAGATTAGATAAAGAGCTGGCAGTTCTTACTATAATAGTTAAAAACTAGATAGCAGGCCAGCATCTTACCCTAGTATCCTCAGCACATTGGATTAAAAAAAGGCCCTAGAGAAGTTTTAACCCAATACTCATAGGTGGCAATGACTTGTAAATTCACATCATATAATTGTGAATACTGAATGAAACTGAATTATTTTTAAACTGATATTCCTTTTAAAGATTCAGCTTTCACAATATTGTGAAGAGATTCTAAATTCCTAAAATAATAATCACAAGCTTTAATTAAAATATCTCGTTCTATTAATATAGTAGAATTTTATTGTATTCAGAAGGAATCAAGGGTGTGTGTGGGGGTGTGGTTGCAGTGGCAGTGCTGGCCACTGTTAGATGGAGGGGCAAAGCTGAAGTTACCAGCTCTATGGGCCAGAAAATTTTGAAAAATATGCCACCGGACATGCAGCCCCTTTCTGGGTGAGTGAGTGAGTTTAAATTCAGTTTCACATAATGGACATTGACAGCATCGCATATTTGGGATTTAAAACATTCCCTATTCATGGCTACCTCAACATATTTTGTTAATTAACCCTACCTGTATAGCAAAGTCTCCATATTGGATTTTGTTATGTACAAGTTCCGGACCTCTCATGTCAAACAATCTCCTAGGCATTTTAGCTGGGCGTGTTGATGGAGTCAGGTCGGGAAGTTTAGGAAAAAATTTCAACCTTCTTTTCTCCGGATACTCCACATCTGTATAAAATTAAAAAATGAATTTAAATGGATTAGGGTTTAACGTCCAACTGTTCTGCTCCAACTATAGGCTAATGAAGATGGACATACGCCATACAGTGTGCTATGAGGGAAATGTTGTCAGGACAATGGTGCTAGGGGAAGGGTTCCTTTACCTGTCCACCAATGTGAACATGGGACTTCAATTTTTCATAACATCCGAAGGACTATACATAGTCCCTTATCAGGCCCTACGTCCTACACCACGGACAAGGGGAGAACTACGCCAGAAAATCCTTATGAATGTTTTGGCCAATGCTGGGATCGAACACAAGACCTCCAGGTTAGCGAGTCTATGTCTTACTCACTGAACCACCGCACCCCCTACACATCTGGATAACGCGAAAATTGAATAAATGAATTTTTCGCAATAACCAAGTAGATGGAAAGAAAAATCTCAGTAAAGCACTGCCAACCTTACTCCATGCCTCATTTAACAGGAGCCACAGAGGCTCAGTACATAAAACAAGTCTTGTGTTTGATCCAAGTTTTGGCCCAGAAAGTTCATTAAGATTTTCTGACATGGTTCTCACTTTTCAGTGGTGCAAGACAGGGTGCCTATATAAAAACGAGGTCCTGTAGACTACACAGTGACGTGTATGTAAAAGAACCATTTGGCAGTTGTAATTCGATATGAAAGTCTGGGCAAAATTTCCTGATAGTACACTGTATGGCATATGCCTGTCTTCAGCCCAGTCGGAGCAGAAAAGCAGAATGATAAAATGAAATGAAATGACATGGGATTTAACATCCTACTGTTCTGCTCCGAACTGGGCTAATGAAGACGGGCATACGCCATACAGTTTGCTATGGGGGATATTTTGCCCGGACAGCGGCACAACAACCTACTCTTATATCGAATTCCTACTGTCAAGGGATCTTTTACATGCACGCCAATGTGTACACAGGACCTCCTGACAAGGACAGCTGTCTACTCATTCGGATGGGACGGAAAACCCAGGTCCAACCCCATTTCATTTATGCCTCACTGAAGCTGCCAAGCACTGTGTACTGGTTTGGATTAACCTCTTTCTATTAAACTAATATTAAACTAATACTCACGATCGTAAGTTGGTGGAGGATCACATTTCATTAGAGTTGCAACTGGAACATAGTTCATAAACCTCGTATCTGTAAAGCGAAAAAAAAAAAATTGGATTCTTTAGCATAATTAAGGAATTTTCTTCTTGTTTGCGAAAATACACGAAAGATATCGCAATTGCTGTAAAATTAAGTTTCCCTGACTAAGCAATGATTAGTTAGTGGTTCTAGCCCATTTCAAATTTTGGAGTTGTCCCCCTTATACTACAATTTCTCTTTCTTTTTTTCTAAACAATTGTAGATCTAAGTGCCTGTCAAATTAATGAGAATGACGGGAAAAATAAATATTTTATAAATTAATTTCCATCTTTATAGGTCTAAATCCTGGAAGTCCAATCGGATCCTGGAGGAAGATGGAATATTAGTGAGTCTGTAGTACTAGTTGAACCATTTCGAGGGTGAGACCTTAGCGGCGTATTATGTTGCTTTCTAAACTGATTCCTCCTTACCTGTTCGACAAAGATCTGATGTGTGAAATGGTGTCGTTAACCGAGCAAATGCTCTGTATATTTTACGAGAAAACATTTTAAAAACTAAATAACTTTCGATCTCATCGTCCCTGACAAACACGAAATAAAAACTTCCGGTGTCAATAACTAGCGTCGAAGGGAAATAACCCTATTTTTCTTTTTGCATCTGGCTTCAGACCACACTTCCTATGTATTTGACGACGTAAAAAAAAAAGTTACACACGCCCAACAGCCGTTTCTTTGTTAGAGCTAATATGATTCCGTGTCTCATAATTTCTTTCTCAGTTTTTTTTTCTTTTACATACACATGGTTTGGAAACATTTCCCATAAAAATATGAGAGATTAATAAGTCACGCGGAACGACTCTCACCGTCTTTAATCACAACAGATATGCGCAGACCTTTATTTCAGAACTATCTAGTCAATTCTTTCTCAATACGTATTAAAATTAAGGCAATTAAACAAACAAGTGAAATAGGGGGTGGGGGGATGGAGTTAACGTCTTCTTGACAAGGGGGTGGGGCAATTGGACCCCTGAAAAAATGTTTTGCCCCCCCCCCCAAAAAAAAATGCCGACCATAGCTCTAAAATACCTACTGTAGATTTTGCCCCCACCTAAAAACTTCATTGCCCCCCCCCCCCCACACACACACACACAGCCAGCAAGTCCTTACGGAAGTGGAAGCCACGGTGGCTAAGTGGGTAAGACCCTGGCTCAATAGCGTGGAGTTCGCGTATCCCTATATCGGCCGAGAAATTCATCGGGATTTTCCGACGTGCTTTCTCCATGTCAGTGGTGCAGGATGGCGGCACGTAAAAGATCCCTTGACAGTTGGAATTTGATGTAAGAGTAGGCCGTAGTGCCGTTATCCGGGCAGAATTTCCCTCATAGCACACTGTATGGCGTATGCCCACTCGGAGCAGAACAGTAGGACGTTAAACCCCATTTCATTTCATTACGGAAGTAACATAACTTAGCGGTGAGAGGAAACTTGTGGACCCTGAAAAAAGAAAACTCGAGGATTGGGCAGGCGGCGTTTTTCCTTGTCAGGTACAAACTCATTAAGGAAACTACACGCTACTAGATCTACTGACAGCCTGGCAGATTTATAAAGCGGACCGCGTTAGATCACCCGGTCAACAATCCCTAAATCACGAAACAATTATACTAAATATACTATTCAAAAAAATAGGGGATATTTGATTTTTAAGTGTTATTAAAGTCACCTAATGAAACTGACGAAGAAACAAATGACAAAATGAAATGAAGTTCACATTCATCGATTTATTCCAAATGATCGTTAGACTAAGTAAGGCACAGACTGACCATTATAAGGGTAAAATGATACCCGGGGTCAAACAGCAAAGTTACCACAGCATCACAACCAAGTCAGTAACGGGTAAATCCTCCTCTGTTTGCCAAACAAGCATTGATCCGACGTGGCATACTCCTAATGAGACGTCTAAGGTCATTTTGGTCCAGATTGTCCCATTCCTGTTGCAACGCAGCAGCAAGTTCTTGGACATTGGCAGGACGTTGTTGACGTTGACGTAACCTCTGTCCAAGCATGTCCCAGACATGCTCGATGGGGGAGAGGTCGGGACTCAGTGCTGGCCAAGGTAATGTGGTGATGTTCTGTTGTTGGAGGTAACCTGTAACGATCCTGGCCCAGTGACATCTTGCGTTGTCATCCTGGAAGATGAAACGGCGGCCATGACGTCGTGCGAACGGCACAACATGGACTGCCAAGATGTTGTCCCGGTAGTACTGGCCTGTAACACGCCCTGCAAAAACATGTCGATTCCGAATCGTCTGGCCACTCACTCTCACACCAGTGTCTGTTTGAAGACGAGCGCTGATCTGATTTGCTGTGATGACACGATTTCTCAAGGCCAAGGTACGGATAAATCGATCCTGGGCTTGAGTTGTCGCCCTTGGTCGACCTGAGCGTGGTCTGTCCTGTACAGATTGTGTATCACGGTATCTGGACCATAGCCTGCTTATGACAGACTGAGAAACATTCATCGTCCGCGCCACAACCGCCTGTGTTGTGCCGATCTGTAGCATGCCAAGGGCACGTAACCTTTCATTTTGGGTAAGCCGACGCATATCAAAATTTGTTTTCTGGTCACTAAAACAATTAAACTGATGTTTCCACCCTGGAATTCAATGCCACAATGACTGTAACATTCAAAGTCAGAGTCGTGCAAATCTTGGGTTGGACCCCCATGATGATCCCAAGCATTACCTGCATTCCATGCGGTAGCTATTGGTGCGTTTGGGCGTCACATGTAACTGGAAATGTTTCTTCTGTTAGGTTCTATAGTGACTTTTTTCGTAGTCATTTGCATATTTTAGTATTATGCCCCCAAAATCAAATATCCCCTACTTTTTTTGAATAGTATATAACACGGTTTTTATCATTTTTTGATGGGGGATTATGCAAATTTGAAAAAAAAAAAAAAATTCGCCTCACCCCGTACTGCTTGCCCCTTGACAATTGGAATTCGACGAAGAGTTGGCGGAAACTATGTTATCCCAGCAAATGTTCCCCATAGCGCACTGCATGGCGGATAACCCCGTCTCCATTAGGCCAATTGGTGCAGAATAATTAATTTCATTTCTTATTATAGCTTGGATGACGACGCTGCTGCCTGTTGAGGCAGAACAGTAGGACGTTAAACCCCATTTCATTTCATTCTGAAGAGCCACGGTGGCTAAGTAGGTCGCCTGGAGGTCGCGTGTTCGATCCCTGCATTGGGATTTTCCGATGTAGTTTCCCCTTGTCAGTGATGCAGGACGGGGCGCCTGACAAGTACTGTTGTCTAGTCGTCTGGATGAGACGCAAAACCGATGCCCCGTATATACATTTGCGTGCACGTAAAAGATCCTTTGGTACTTGGAATTCGATATAGGAATAGGCCATAGTGCCTTAAAATAGTGCCCAATCGAAGCAGAACAATAGGGCGTTAAACGCCAAATCATTTGATTTCATTACAGGCCTGTAAGGAAGAATAACGAAATCAAATGAAATGTAATGGGCTAATGAAGACGGGCATGCGCCCTACAGTATGTGTGCTATGAGGGAATTTTTCCCAGGACAGCGACACTACGGCCTACTCTTATACTGAATTCCAACTGTCAAGGGATCTTTTACGTACACGCCAATGTTTACACGGGACCTCGGTTTTTCGTCCCACACGAACGACTAGACAGCTGTCCTTGTCCGGCCCTCCGCCCTGCATCAAGGGGGAACCACGCCGGAAAATCTAGATGAACTTTCTCGGCCAATGCGGGGATCGAACACCCGACTTCCAGGCTAGCGAGCCAGCGTCTTACCCACTTAGCCACCGTGACCCCCCAGGAAGAATAACAGATAAATATTGATCACAAAATAATATGATAAATATTATGATAATAGATTATAAATGCGGTCAGTGGTCTATAGGTAGTCATTTATCGACAAGGTCAGCTATAATCCCCTTTGACCGACAGATTATCAACAACGAAATATGAGACTGGTATCATGAACTCCAGATTCTGATTGTACCCATCACTCCCCTGTACCAATGACACACCATCACTGTCCCGCCCGCCCCATCCCCAAATCTTTCGGGGCCGCTAAGTTCTTAATATCGGAGACCGGGAAACAATTGTTTTAGAATTTGATTTTCAAAAGAAAACAAACAGTTCAAAACTAGATGAAGCCACGGTGGCTAAGTGAGTAAGACACTGACTCGCTAGTCAGGAGGTCGCGGAATCGCTCCTGATGTTGGCCGAGAAAGTTCATCGGGATTTTCCAGTGTAGTTTCCCCTTGTCAGCGATGCAGGACGGAGGGCCTGACAAGTACAGATTCCGTGTAAACATTGGCGTGCAAGTAAAAGATCCCTTGGTAGTTGGAATTTGATATAAGAGTAGACTATAGCGCCTCTGTCCAGGCAAAATTTCACTCATAGCACACAGTATGGTGTGCGCCCGCATTTATTAGCCCAGTCGGAGAAGAACAGTAGGACGAAACTTAAATATTCTTGTTAGATCAAATTTGTGATCAAACCCAACATAATTATGTCCTAAGCTGTTGAAAATGGCTGAATGTAAAATTCCCGAAGCGCAAGTGTGAATAAGGTAAAATTCCCGTGTAATATTTGTTTTGAAAGATTGTAGGCTACCCAGGTCATTAATTTGTTAACTACTTGACCTTAACTATCGGTTTACACCCGAGGCTAAAATGTGACTTAGTTCTTCAAAATAAACTTGCTGACAAAACGTCATATTAAAACCAAATATCAAATTTTCCATCCATTAGCCCACGACAAATTTACTTGTAGGCTATTCATTATTTAATATTTAACTAAGAACACGAAACCGAATATCAACTGTAGATAATATCCCTGGCCTGTATGCAATCGAATGCAAAAGTTGCCAATGTAAAGACTTCTCCCAACACCAATAGGTGTTTCTGTATTTTCTGCGGATGAAACTGGATAATGGCAAAATTCATTTCGTCATAACCTTGTTAATACCGATGGGAATTGAACCATTTTTGGACTGATATATCTTTTAGAGATTTGACTTTTAGAATCTCCATAATCCCTTTGATGACAGGCACCTGCCATTTTCAAAAACTTTAAAGATGCATTATGTAAGAGCTAAATCTGTCTATTGAAGGTCTTTATTTTGGCTTTGACATTTATTTACATGACAAGCCTATAATCGCATTTTAATGATTTAATTCAGAAATGAAGAAGCAAGGCTGAGTCTCGATTGGCAAGTAATGTTGCTTCATCTTCCAACACCCATAATCGATATATACATTAGTCATTATCTATTTTTGAAAGATTATATCAAGAACGACCGGCTTTTTGTTTTATCTAAATCTGACATAATGCATCTTTAAATAATCAGGGGGGTGTGGCAATCTGTTTCACAGAGATCTTCTAATATCTCTGTAACAGATGACTGTTTCGACACGTGACGTCACATCACGCGGCGTCAATCATTGGCTCAATAGCGCGTGCATTGTTTACGTAAGACGTTACTGATTCGGGCTAAATGGTGAATTTTACTTTTACTTTTAATACCCATTTACACTAAATAGGAAATGATTTTTACCTACAAATAATTCAAACGTCTTTAATTTATTCTTCTAATAAATGAAAAAAATGTTTTATAATTTAATTTGACGGAAGAAAAAAGTTAATATTTGGGACTCATTAAGTCGCATTGATGTCATTCTTATCAGTGATTGTAGCAGCCAAGCGGGAAATTCACTTCTGATCAGTGTGGGGGGGTTGGATGACTGAATGGTTAGCGCGTGCGCGCTGTATCATAAGGTCTGTCATTGTGTCAACTGGCGTGGTTTTGATTCCCCGGTTGTACGCGACAGGGAGTATCCTCCGGATATCTCCCACAGCTAAAGACCCCTAAGCGCAAGCGAATTATTGAAATAAAAGTGCACAATGTATTAGTCCTGAATTGACCTAGTTTGTGCCGAACGGACGCTAAACCCCAATTTGAGTACATTTAAAGACATGAAAAATTCGATATTGTCCGCCAAATGCAATTGGTGTTTGTCAACAAATGTTAGTTTTAAGAATTAAGTAAGTCACAATTTGTTTTTATCTCGAGTGTGACCTGATATTAAAGGTCAAGTAGTGTATAATTTCAATTCCTACTGTTCATCTGATATATTGCACATTTCAGAAAAATATGATCTTATGACGTCATTTGCTCCAATCGAGGAATCTTTGCGGTGTTGGGGTGTGTCACTGAGAGATGCCCTCGAGTTCTCTGCGCCTCGCGCGCGTTCATTCTGCTCCCAGCTTCTTGTCTTGCGAACAGTTCTTCTGTCTTATTTTGCGGTCGTTTGTGAACGGGGCTGGGTGAAACTTAACGGGCATTGTATGGAATATGTCCAAAGCATCTTGATTTAGGCCCTGGGTCCAGAAAACGCCCCTTTGAGTCATTTGTCTTTAAAATGTTCTTTATCAGTTGTTCTTGTACTGGAGCTGTGTGTATGGTGGTGGTTCATTTATCAGAAGGTCCTAGGCTCCATCTCTGTGTTGGCCGAGAAACTACCCCCTGGTCTGACAGAGGGTTTGACAAGGGAACGGTGTCTACTAGCCGTTCGGATGACTACAAGTTAAAGATTCGCTAACGGAATCCACTCCCGCCCCCATAGCAGACATCACGGCACACGCCCCTCTTTATTATCCCGGTTGGTGCAGAAACGTAGGACGTTCAACCTCAATTTTTTATCTTGTACTAAGTGAACCTAGATATAATGCTTGAAAAAATCGTGTTCTTTAGTTGACTGTATCCTCTGAAAATGTTTCGAAAACGATAACATGTACTGACACACGTGCACCAAACATGGGCTGGTATCTAGCCTTCTTTCAAAGATAGAGCTAATGGTGTGTTCCTGTTTCGAAACAAGTCGCCAAATATGAAACTAAAATTAATGAATAGACGTCGACACCCGATTAAAAATTATATGCATGATTTTAGCGCTTTAGAACACCCTGTAAACTACAATATTGTGAAGGTTGAATTAGTCCCAATATGGTTCAAGTCCTTTCAGTATTTACATGATGAACTGAAAATATGAAACTAATTAAAGATGAGTTAAAGAACAGAGCGACGTCGATACCAGCTAAAGATTATGTGCGTGATTCTAGCGTTTTAGAACCCCTTAAAACCTACAATATTGTGAAGGTTAAATCCCTTAATGGAATATAAGTCCCAAAATCGTTCATGCCCTTTCAGTATTTACAAAGATAATAATTGAAAATATAAAACTATAAATGAGTGAAACCGACGCCCGCGTCATCATCTATTAAGGGTACATTTTAACGTCGATTTGGCCGTGACAAATTTGATAATTGTGTCAGCAGTATTAGTTTTAAGTAGTAGGCCACATTTTTTAACCTCGGGGGTATAGATCAGTTGGCTATTATTTCAATGTGATGCACATTTAGGAAAATCCGGTGTTGACGTCACTTCGCTTTACATTGTGGAAATGAAATGAAATAGAGATTAATGTCCTAGTGTGCTATGGGAGATATTTTGCCCGGCGCTACGAAATACTCTTACATCGAATTCAAATTACCTGCACCCCCCCCCCCCCCAAGTTGGTATACGTGGCCACGGTTTTCCGTCCCATCCGAATGACTATACGCTGTCCCTTGCCAGACCTTCTGTCCTGCACCATTGGCAATGGCGAACAACGCGGGAAAATCCCGTTGAACTCTTTTCGGTGAATACAACGATAGAACACGATTCATCCAGGGTAGCGAGTCAAAGTCTTACTAACTGAGCCACCGCCGCCCCCCTATACATCATGCATCAATTGTACCTTTGGGGTGAACGTGTTTTCTGTGTTGTCACCCCACGCCACCTTTTCTGAAAATAGCTCTTGAATATTTACTACACCAAGACGTGTGTTAAGAGAAGTGACACTAGATGTTATATGATATGTATACATGCATTCGATGTTTTTATCCAGAGGTACTGCAGGGGGGGGGGGTCGACCCGCCTTCATTAGCCCAGTCGTTGCAGAATATTAGGCGTTAAACCCCATTTCATTTCATTTCTGCCTGATAACTTATCGATTTAATACATCAGATTCAAGCTTTTATTTGGTCTTAAATCAAAGAGGCATAGCCCCGTTAGTTATAATGGTTTGAAAGGCAGCTGCTCGTTAAGTAGCTGACTTACCAGCCCGGTTGGTACAAAGAGTAAATGAACCATTGGCAGTTGGAATTTGGGAGAATGCATAGCGTATGTTTGTCTTCGTTAACCCGGGTGGTGTAAAAAAAAACCCTAGGTTCTTAAACACTATTTAATTTCCTGATTCAAATTTTAAGCCCACGTCAGATGTACTCAATATTTCGAGTAGTACTATGTAAGGGAGCGATCTAGATAATCCGAGTACAGGAAGTATCATAATTTGGTCTACGTGAACAAGTCTTATAATTCAAAACTTTTAAATATCGGTTTACATCAAGCTGACGTACTGATTAAAATAATATCACCTGTTATCTTAATTACATATACGCCTACCTGAAATAAACACCATCATTCAGGTGTGCCGTATATAGTATATGTTACGCAATATTGCAAGTTAACAAGACATCCGTAACCAAAAGCTTTCTGGAATATGTCCTTTTTATCATTTTATTTTCTTCTTCTTTAACAAGTTATTTCCTTCTAGAATTCACTGATAGGAAATATTTTAGACATGCTAAGAATTAGACATCGGGCAATTACACACCAGGACAATTATACACCGGGCAATTACACACCAGGACAATTATATATCGGACAATTACACACCAGAACAATTACACATCGGACAATTACACATCAGAACAATTACACATCGGACAATTATAAATTCATTATAATTATATCGAATTCCAACTGCCAAGGTTTTTTTTACATGTACGCCAATGTGTACACGGAGCCTCGGTTTTTCGGCCCATCCGAACGGCTAGACAACTGTCCTTGTCGCCTTCGTCTTGCACCACTGACAATGGGAAACCACGTCGGAAAATCCCGATGAACTTTCTCGGACACGCGACCTGCAGCCTAGCAAGCCAGCGTCTTACCCACTTAGCGAGTATGGCTCGCTCCGGAATAATGAGACGTCGGACAATTAGATACCGGATTACTAAAACCCAGGCGAAATGAAATGAAATGAATTGGGGTTTAACGTCCTACTGTTCTGCTCCTATGCTGGGCTAATGAAGACGGGCATACGCCATACAGTGTGCTATGAGGGAATTTTGCCCGGGCAGCGGCACTATCGCCTACTCTTATATCGAATTCCAACTGCCAAGGGATCTTTTACGTGTATTCCAATGTATACACGGGACCTCGGTTTTTCGTCTCATCCGAAGGACTAGACAGCTGTCCTTGCCAGGCCCTCCGTCCTGCATCACTGACAAGGGGGAACCAAGCCGGAAAATCTAGATGAACTTTCTCGTCCAAGGCAGGGATCGAACACCCGACCTCCAGGCTAGCGAGCCAGCGTCTTACCCACTTAGCCACGTGATCCCAGACACCCAGGCACTTTGCGGTTTGGCTATACGGCATTCTGAAAAACGGAAAGTGGTATAAGGTGCTCTAGTATGAGTAAGCATATTCTGATTCGGTTCTGTAATAAGAATGATAGACAATAGGTTATTTCACAATTCGGCCAACATGGGGTTATTGAGTACCTAATCGGATTAACCAAGTGACCGCAAAATTTAAAACTTAAAAACAAAGATTAGCGACCATAGATAAGATTCACGGGAGCTTTGCGCTTTTGATAAGTAGCACTTCAAAAAAATTCATCTGAGATAAAATAAGTAAATAACATCACAAGAGATGAGGTGAATGTGACAGCCACGAGGTGGTTACGGTCATGTGATCTGACCATGTGCTTGTCATAACAGTATTCAATACCCCTGATTATGCTATAAATACGAGTGTCAAAATTGATGCTTTATCAGTACGAGGTGTGACCCAATACAGACTTCATCGATTACTTTGTATAATATCAAGGTATGTTGTTATTTATTGATACAAAAAAAATATCTACTCTTATTTATTTATTATCCTTTGCCTTTTATGTTTCGAACGCCATAAAACATGTTTTATTTTAAAAGTCCGAATGGGCGCGACTGTAACATATTTCCTGTGTCTTAGCAATAGGAAATGAAATGAAATGAAACGGGGTTTAACTGGGCTAATTAAGACGGGCATACGCCATACAGTGTGCTATGAGGGACATTTTGTCCGGACAGCGGCACTACGACCTACTCTTATATCGAATTCCAACTGTCAAGGGATCTTTTACGTGCACGCCAATGTGTACACGGGACCTCGGTTTTTCGTTCCATCCGAACGTCTAGACTGCATCACTGACAAGGGGGAACTTAGCAACAGAGGTGGCTCATTGAATGAGGCACTGGTTTAAGAACGCTTACGGTGTTTAGCCGTGGAAGTTCATCGGGATTTTCACTTTGTCATTCGTGGTGCAGGATAGAGAGTCTAGCTGGGAACAAGTTCTGTTTACACATTAGTTCAAATTGTCCATGTCACAGATGCGCCCCTAGCACACAACATGACATATGCCCGCCTTCATCAGACTGACTGTTGCAGAAAACTAATACGTTAAACCCAGAGGCATGGTGACCCATGATCCGGGCCTCCAAAAAACAATATTTGTATGTGTGTGCGGGGGAGGGGGTGGGATGGCAGTCCCTCCCAGCACCACCAGGAAATATGTGGAACATGCTAGAGTCGATTTGTAGCATATCTGACCCACAGTATATGTTTGACACTGGTTACGTATTATGATTATGATTATAATGTTGAAAACCGCATTGAAACCAAGTGATTGTTTGCCATTTGTAATGGGCGCAAAAACTCAAGGGGGCGCAAAATCTCAAAACCATGACGCAAAGCTCGTCATTGCGTCCCTCTCACTTAGCCCCTGGTTAAACCCCATTTCATTTCCATTTTAAAACGTGGTTGTCTTTTCTTAATAGATGCTAAAACTAGCAGTATTAATGGTGGCAGTAGCCGCTGCCGTGGCTAAACCCGGTATGATGCTTGGTCTAGATGAAGAATGGGATATTTTCAAAAGACAGCATGGAAAATTGTATGAAGGACAAATTGAAACCTATAGGTATGAATGTTTGGTAACAAATCTTGCGCTATTCGAAGCAAAATATTGGAGCATTTGAAAAACATATTTACACAAGGAAACATTTCAATAATAGAGATCATTGTAAGGCTATTTAATTCCTTACTCCGAGGATGTTATTTACTCTTTTACAAACATTAAATTGAATATTTCGTGATACTGTATTTTTGTATTTTAGGACTAAGTCCATTTCGACAGTAAATAATTCTAATTTTACTCATTCAATGATGTGATGAAATTGGGGTTGGTTTTACTTTCAAGTACAACAATGGTGTTGATTTCAGCTTATACGCCATGTTAGAGCTTGCTCAACTTGCGTTGACATTTTACTTTATAATTGCATGACATTTATTACTGCCAACAAGACTTTAAAACTCACATTGAAGAGTTGATTGGGTCACATATCCGTCATTTTAAATGTTTCTTTTCCAATGTTAGTAAAAATGTTCACTGTCCCTATTTGCCATGTTTATTTGGGTCAACTTTTCTTTAAGGAGCTTTTAACTACACAAGTCCTCTTTTTTAACTTGTAGCCTTTGAGTATTCAAATTATTTTATTCACGGGTTTTATATTTTAGACGAGGCGTCTGGGAGAAGAATGTCGCGTTCATCCAGTCTCACAACCTACAAGCTGATCGTGGTGTCCATTCCTTCAGACTTGGTATGAACCATCTAGGGGATTTGGTAAGATTTCTTTTTTACAAGTCTCTAAACGTCAATTGAAGGAATGTTTATAGCCTAGTTGAATCTCTAAAGGGAATATCAATCCAAAAATGGTTCAATTTCCTTCAGTACTTTAAAGGATGAATAAAATCTTTTGGTGGGTCTCTTTTTGATCCGATTGAATCCAAGTGGTTTTTGCGATATTTATTTACGCGACAAGCCCATAATCAACCCATTATACCATCGGATGGTCGTGATTTTCAATAGACTAAAACACGATCTCCATTTTATAATTTACTTCAACAATGGATAATCGAGACTTAGTTTATTAAACTAGAAATAGTAGGAATGAAAATTGAGACTATGCCATTCTTATTATATGTTCCTACTGTCATGCGATGCCTTATGATACGATTGTCCCTATTGAGTCCATGATCTGATACGTGCAGATACGTTCGCATACGTTTCGATACGATCAACGCGATTGCTACGACTGACCTCAATATATGACAAGACCTGATAGGATCACTCATCCTTGGTTACCCAGTGTACTCATTCCGTTCTACTACCCTATACCCTGGGTTAATCCATAGGGTTTCCACGATTTCAAATTATCTGCCCTGGCCTAGAATGTAGCTACATTGTACGAACCGATCAGAAAACAGTTTACAAATCAATCGTTTCGCCTTCGTTTTTATAAGGGTAGATAACCATTTACTGAATGATTTATGTAAATAATGTATATATTTGTAATTTATTTATATTTAATTGTATTATCAAAATCTGTAGTATGTGTTGTTGATTTCAAATATGTATAACATCTATATGTTTGACGTTTGTTATTATTATTACTATTCGTTCTTTGTCTGAAATATGTCATTTTGTTATGTTTATTATTGAACTTATACTTGGCAATTTGATTCTCAATAACTCGGTGGAAGCGGACGTAAAATACAACTAACTAACAACATCAATCAATAACTTGCCTACGATATCACGTGGACATAAAATTCCGGGAACGAACGAACGATTCTAAATAAAACTAATGACCCTACATTATTATATGAACGTCTGGTCTTCATTAACATAATATTGAATTGGTTGTTAATAATTACGCATTTAGAATAGGCCAACTCCTAACATTGTCCGATGAGAGTTACTTCCCTTTGCCAACTTCCTTTTCAAATAACAATTTATGGGATTGGTCGATAAAAATAGCACAATCATCAAGGGCGGATAACTTGAAAACGTGTCTCCCCCATAGATTAACCCAGGGTATAGTGGAGTAGAACGGAATGAGTACACTGGGTAACCGAGGATGAGGATCACTACGATCACTCCACGATTTAAACCACGATTTTAATCGTAGCCCGAATCGTGATAGTGGAAACCTAGCATTATCAACAGTACAAATAGAATAAAGTAATTTGACGGAAAGTTTCAATATTCCTTTTTCTATTTTTCAACTATTATAGCGAGAACTATCAGCTCTTTATCTAAATCTTATATAATGCATATTTATAATATTCAAATTGTTATCTACAGACCCGTGAAGAAATCAACAAAATGCTAAATGGTTACACCATGAAAACATCCGAGAACATCGGTGCAACCTTCATGGCCCCATCAAATGTTGGAGACCTCCCAACTGAAGTTGATTGGAGAAAAGAAGGTTATGTTACACCAATCAAAAACCAGGTAAATGACGCCATACCCGCCCAGTTTGTGGTTTTAAAGAAAATTAGCATATCCTTTAAAATGAAATGAAGTAAATGTGGTTTGACGTCCTACTTTTCTGTGCCGACTGGGCTAATGAAGACCATGCAGTGTGCTATGAGGGAAATTTAGCCCTTACAGCGACGTTTCCGTCTTCTTATCATCGCCTCACAACTGTCGAGTGTTCTTTTACTAGCCAACTAAAATTCAACGTGCATACGGGACCTCGTGTTATCGGCCTATCTGAAAGACTAGACACTGTTCCTCGCCAGCCTCTCCGTTTATGCACTACTGAAAACCCGTTTAGGTATCTCGAGGAAGATTCTCATCCAACACCCTGACCAAACCTGGGACCTCCTGGTTAGTGACCCAGCGCCTTACTCACTGAGACACCGTGGCTCCAAGAAGAAAAAGCGCACGGGCCTTTAAATGGTATTTATATCGTATATATTATTATTTCAAGGGACAATGTGGATCATGTTGGTCATTTTCTGCTACCGGAAGTTTGGAAGGCCAGACATTCAAGAAAACAGGAAAACTTGTTTCTTTGTCAGAACAAAATTTAGTTGACTGTTCCGGAAAAGAAGGTGAGTAATAGCGACTCCTATCGACTTAAAATGACGTATGCTCCAGCTTTCTATTTTGATACTTTCACAAAATATTTGAAACATTTATAAACCCCATCGATTACTATCCAAAAGTCATTATGTTGGACTTTAAATTGTGGGATATCTTTAAAACACACTGCTTGTCATGACATACACAAGAATACTACAATGTTTTAGAAATGTTACATTTTTTTCGTGGATTTTTTTTTATAAGCAATATTTTATTCAGATTTGTATCTGAATAGGGATTGGGGAAAAGGCATAGCCTGGACGCTCGAAACACAACCGTAATACCCAAGGTTGGAATCCCGACCGATTCATCTTGATCGACAAGAACCATTTTTGGCTTCATTCTGACTTGTTGACTTCTTACAAATGACTGATATTTATTATTAATCTGTTTATTATTCAGGTAATCAAGGTTGTGCTGGTGGTTTAATGGACCAGGCTTTCCAATATATTAAACAGAACAGAGGTATTGATACAGAAGCCAGTTACCCATACACCGCTAAGGTAGGTACAGTAAAACCCGTGTATAACGACCAGTAAACAAACCAATAAACCCGAGTCACAATGATATTGAAGGCATAACGAGTTGCCCCCCCCCCACCCCAACTTTTGATACACGCATGTCAAAGCTGTTGGATAGTACATTAATTTACCACATGATATTACAAAATTACTACTACCACAGGGCCATGCTAATATTTCAGCAAATTGTAATTCGCAGAGTATATTTTGTTTTTTCTGTAGGATGGTACTTGTCACTTTAGCCGAGCTAACGTTGGATCAACTGATGTTGGTTTCACCGATATACCACGTGACAGTGAATCCTCCCTGCAACAAGCCGTGGCTACAGTTGGCCCTGTCTCAGTAGCCATTGACGCTAGCAGATCAACCTTCCATTTCTATAAATCTGGTGTTTATAACGATCCTGAATGCAGCTCCACCAAGCTTGACCACGGTGTATTAGCTGTTGGATATGGTACTTCACAGGGCAGTGATTACTGGCTCGTCAAGAACAGGTACGTAACAATGGATGGACGTTTGGGGGTCCTCGTACCACCAGCCCTTGTAATTCTCATCTAAAGCCCTCTAATGTGTTATCTTGACGTTTGAGAAGTATTTACCTTTTTTCGTGGACTATCTCCCTTATCATGGATACGTTGTCATTTTGAGTGAGCCAGTATTATTACCGGCCTGGGACTATACGTCGCAGTGGACACTTACGGTTGCAGCCCAACCCCCACCTCAACCCGGATCCATTCCCTAGATTTGTTGCTTATTACTTACAATGTATATTCAGTGGCTTGTCCGCGGGATTTATTTATGTATGGATGTTTGTTTATATGTGATAAGGTCTTCCTGAATTTAGTATTAAGACGAATAGCTGATCATGACCCACACAATACCAATGCAATGTTTCCTGGGTTATCTCCCTTATTATAAGTATGTTTTCGTTTTGGGCGAAGATTATGTAGAGAGAGAGGGAGTGCAGCATGTTTCGTGTGTCTTAGCAATAGAGTTTGACCGAGGAAGTTCATCGGGATTTTCACCATGTCAGTCGAGAGGGATGGGGGGGGGGACATGGGAGTTAACGTCCACTCGACACAAACTAGGTTATTTCGGGATTAACATACGGTTCAATTTTATTTCAATAATTCGCTTGCGCGTAGGGGTCTTTAGCAGTGTGAGGAAACCGGAGGACAGGCGACCCTACTCCTTGTCACGTACAACCGGGGAATCGAAACCACGCCAGTTGACTCAATGACAGACTCAATGACTAACTTTATGATACAGCGCGCCCGCGCTACCCCCCCCCCCCCCACCACCGAAACCCATACAGTCAGTTGACACTTTACTTTATCTGATATATGCGTTTGTTTGTTTGTATATATTGTGTGATGCGGTTCCCAGAATTACGCCTAAAGTCTATTAATACTATTTATAATTATATTTGTATTACATTATAGTTGGGGTATATATATCTAATTGTATTCGCTATTATAGTTGGGATACTATATGGGGTATGGAAGGTTATAACTGTATTCTATTACATTTGGGGTATGGAAGGTTATATCACTAATTGTAGTCTGTTACAATGGGATTTGAATCTCTAACTTTTGTAGTATATTATAGTTGGGGTATGGAAGGGTATTATATCTGACTATATATTACAGTTGGGGTACTATATGGGGTATGGAAGGTTATATACCTAACCTTTGTTGTATATTATAGTTGGGGTATGAAAGGGTATTATATCTGACTATATATTACAGTTGGGGTACTATATGAGGTATGGAAGGTTATATAATATCTAATTGCATTATATATTTGTATTATATTACAGTTGGGGTACAATGTGGGGTCTGGAAGGTTATATACAGATGTCCAGAAACCAGGACAACCAATGTGGTATTGCTACAGTCGCCAGTTACCCTCTAGTCTAAATACCAGCATCACTTAATCTCAACTGCGTCATCATGTACATCTTTTTGTTGTTTTTTTTGTCCCGAATTCAAACATTTGTAAAATAAAGATTCATTTCTCGTAAAATATCGTCTTTTTGTAAAATGTTATTAATCATGAAGCCGCGTTCGATCCCGATGTTGACAGAGAAATTCTTCAAGGTTTTCCGGAGTGGTCCCCCATGTCAATGGTGCAGGCCAGAATCAATGACAAGGGGCAACGTTTAGTCGTTCGGATGGGATGAAACTTGGGCTCCACTGTGCACGTAAAAGATCCCTTTGCTGTTGGAATTTGATACAATTTCTATATGGCGTATCCCCGTCTTCATTAGCCCCGTCGGCGCAGAACAGTAGGACGTTAAACCCAATTTCATTTCATTTCGTTATTAATCATAAGACACCATCATTCTTATATATAGACCTTCCAGTTAACTAAATGTCATTGTCAATGATAACCGTAAGAGGATACATATCGAAACGTCGTGCTTGTGTCTAATAAACCAGTGATTGTTGTCCCATATAAGTGTGTCAGTTCTCCTATGTTTCCAATCTCTAAATGCCAATAAAAATCAAAAAGAAACCCATGCAAAAGGGGATAAAGAAAGCGAAAAATTCGCTAGGCGAACTACAATTGGTGGGTACCGAGATGGTGAAATCTAATGGTCTAATGGACAATGATGGTGAAATCTAAAGGGAGTCTGCATTCACACCCAGAGAACAGAGTACCTCACCCTTCTAGTGATCTCGTAGTTCATTAATTTTCGTTCTAGTCCTAGTCTCGGTCACCCAGAACCTCATAGTCTTCATCGTACGGATGGTCTGGGTCTGTTGTCCACATTTGACAAAAAGTTCCATTGCCGATGCGTGACCGGGTGTTTGTTTTTTTTTATCTGGTTTATTAGTCTCTCTCTCTCCCTTTCCCTTTCCCCCCCCCCCCTTTTGCATGGCGATTTTTGTTGACTTTTTGGTGTAGAATCGAAAAAAGGGGTTTGAAAATACATTTTCTGCCAGATTTTGGTGAATATTCATGATTTTGAGGCGGAAGGATACAAGAGTTGTGAGGTTGGTTACGTTGAAATGTAGGGCCGGAAATTGCATGTTTACTTGTCTCTACTTCCAGCTTGTGTATCTCAAGTTTTTCATGGTGAACCTCATACATGCTTTTGGGCAAGAGTTTGCCACATGTTGCTCCATCTATGGCAGAAAGCGTTCTACCCAACGAAAATGTGGGAAAACGTTAGAGCCGGTCTAAGAGACAAGAATTAACATTAAAGTCAATGGGGAAATAATTAGTGATCTGTGGCCACCCAGTAAATATTTGCCAACTCAAGTAAGAGTTGCACCCCTTCCCGAAATAAATCCCATAATGCATTATTATTAGCTAATTAGGATGAACTAAAAAAAACAACATAGATATGGTCCATGAAGAGAGAACCTTTACAATAAAAAGATTGTTGAATATCGAACTGGCAATGCAAGAGGATTTTCTGAAATGGCAATTCTTAAAGGGCTAATCCCGATAATATTTTCGAGAATAAAACTGCCTAATTACGTGTTAAAATCCCTTAAAATTCTCTACCCTAGGCCCGAGAAACTAACTCAATATATGTGATACGTTTTCAAACAACTTAAACCCGTCAGTCTTCATCTGGAAATGGAGACCGGTGTGACACACCATGCTTTAACAATACTGGTGGTGATACTGTCTTGCATGTTAACACTTTCTACGATCGATTTTGTAAATAGGATTTTAGACAACTCATTGCAGCGTCTTTGATACCAAACTGACTGGAGAGACGGTCCACCAATCTATCGTTATTTATAGTATCAAACCCTGCTGATAGGTCGAACAAAACCAAGGCTACACACCTTCGATTATCTACCGCTACCCTTCATCGAGTCGCTTCATAAAAAATGGCACCCAAAAGCATTCTGGTACGCCAATCGTGTGCCAATTTTAAAATGTTGATTTTGTCTTAAATATTGGATATCAGAAGCCCATCTTTTTACGGTATGATAACAACATCAATGTTGGTTTAAATTGACAATGTCAAAGACTGTGGATGATATTGAATTAAAGACTTAACTCCTTTAAACAACATGTAAATATGGCCTACCACATGTAGCACTTTCCGCTCGAAATAAAAATAAATTGTTTATTGGAATTTTCGATGAAACGGAAACGTTTGTTCCGCATATTAATTAGCTGAGAAGGGACAAATACAATTTGTAAAACCAAATATTTGATGTTAGTGAACTCATTTGCTTCAAGGACACCTGTTTCACGCAGAATCTTATTTTCTATCCAGGCGGACCTTCCATATAATAATCTGAATTGAAATGAAATGAAATGAAATGGGGTTTAACGTACTACAGTTCTGCTCCTATGCTGGGCTAATGAAGACGGGCATACGCCATACAGTGTGCTATGAGGGAAATTTTGCCCGGGCAGCGGCACTATCGCCTACTCTTATATCGAATTCCAACTGCCAAGGGATCTTTTACGTGCATTCCAATGTATGCACGGGACCTCGGTTTTTCGTCTCATCCGAAGGACTAGACAACTGTCCTTGTCAGACCCTCCGTCTTGCATCACTGACAAGGGGGAACTACGCCGGAAAATCTGGATGAACTTTCTCGGCCAATGCAGGGATCGAACAACCGACCTCCAGGCTAGCGAGCCAGCGTCTTACCCAATTAGCCACGTGATCCCCATATAATAATCTAGCTGCATACAAAGTTTAAGAAAATACACATTTAAACAACATTTAAATATGGTCTACCACCTGTAGCACTTTCCTTTCAGTCTAAAAATAAATTGTTTATTGGAAGTTTCGATTAACACCATATCTTTCTACGCGAATTAACAATAAATTGTTCATTGGATAATACGGAAACATATTTTTATACTGTAAATTAATACACCAATTGTTTATATATATGATAAGTTAAGTTCTACCATGAAATATGGAAATTTGTAATACGTTTCAATACAATATCTTTCCACACGACTGACTTCATAATAAACTGTTCATTAGATAAAACGAAAACATTTTTGTTTTGTTATAACTGTAAAATAATATACGAATTATCATTTTATCCCCTGACTTTTACTGATAATTAAAGTAATCAAGTAATGAGGAAAATTGGAAAATATTTTAACATCCTATCTTTCCCATCCCTTTTCAGGTGGTTGGATGTTTCAATGGTTAGCGTGACAAGGAGTAGGGTCGCCTGTCCAACCTCGTAGGTTTTCTCCGGGTCCTCCGGTTTCCTCCCACTGTTAAAGACCCCTATGCGCAAGCGAATTATTGAAATAAAATTAAACCATATGTTAGTCCCGAAATGACCTAGTTTGTGTGGAGTGGACGTTAAATCCCATTTCTCTCTCTCCCTCTCTCTTTTCAGGGATAGACTAAAAATGAATATGGTAGTTCAGGGATCCCTTTAACTAGTTGATGTTCTTGCGTAGTCATGAATGTACGCCGTTTTCATCGTTAACATATGCATAAGCTAAAATCACTAGGATATACTCTAGAAAGGACCATTAACAGTCAGTGTTTTCAAAAGAAATTTCGAGCCTTTTTAGACAGAACCCCGCCACGGAGCAAAGATCAGCCCGTCCTTTGTATCATATATATATTGGATAGTGTTCATTGCTGGCGAAAAACAGTAGTACCGTGGAAATTGCAAGAAATTGTGAAATGAATAACAGACAGAAATGAACCTGTGTTTACTATCGATACCAGGGAGGGACCGGGGGCCGAAAAATTCCCGAACCTGGTCTCGCGAGGGGTTCCCAGGCGCGAAATTTCTTTTGAAAAACTGACTGTAAATTTATGTTTTCTCCAGTATGTCCTGCTGTTACTAGCTTATGCATAAATTTGATGTGTGACAATCTTATCAGAAATAAATTTCTGAACCCAACATTGAATTCAGTAATCACGAAAACGTTATTTTACAAGCATTATCCACACGAACAAAAATCACAATTTTAGCTTCAATTTTGATTGTCGTTTTAAAGGAGCTAAATCGTTAATATTTGGTACCTAGAAATTGACACAAATGGGTCGCAACGCATATAATAATGTAATATGAATATATATAAACTGATTTATATTAAATCGTTTCTGTTTTTAATGTAATTTCTAATCCGTTATGTTCGGCGAAATACGTCAGAAGTCTCAATTGAATGGCAATCGTTAGTGTCTGGTTATTTCAGTCTACACCGATGGTACTTATATTGCGCATGCTCTCCAGATAAGAATATAGTGTCACCATTTGACATGACTTGTGGAATATGTCTAGCCTCGTTCTTTGAATCCCTTGTTCCAAATGGCGCTGAAACGCATTATGGTACACGATTCGTGTACCAATGGTAAAATGTGGTTTTTTTTGTCTTGAATATTGGATATCAGACGCCCATCTTTTCCCTGTAAGATCACAAGACCAATGTTAATTTGAATTGACAAATAATTCGTGTTTGAATGTCGAAGATTTTTGATGATATTGAGTTATGAGACATAGCTACTTTAAATTTACACCATCTTGGTTAGGTTTCTAGGTAGCAACTGAACTCGGCAAACCTCAAAACCATTACATGAGACATATTACAAGCATATCCAACGGAAACAAATGACGATTTAATAAAATTCCGCCATTTTGAATTTGTGCCGTCATGGATTCTCGATATTGATTTTTGAGGTCAGAATTGAATCCAGGGTCATCGACAACCACGTAAATGACATACTACAAGTCATATCCACCAGGAAAAAATGACGATTAACTTAAAATCCGCCATTTTCTTAGTCCATTTTGAATTGCTACCATTATTTTTAAATCCGGAGACACTTTCGCTGACTATTTCCAGAAAATGCTATTTTATTACGATTAATTAAAATGCCGCCATTTTGGATTTCATTTTGGCGGCAATTTGGAATTTTTACCATCATGGATTCTCGAAAGTCATGTTACAAGGCATATCAACAGGAATAAACGACGATTAACTTAAAATCCGTCTTTTTAGATTACACCTTGGCTGCCATTTTGAATTGCTACCATGTTGGTTTTGGGAATTATCTTTAAGTTCAGAGACATCGAAAACCATATAAAAGACACAGTAAAAGTCACATCTTACGCGATTCTCGCTGGTTATATGGGGAAAAGCCCTTTTATTGCCAAATTTGGCAGCCATTAGCCGTCCATGTGAAAAATACATTTTTTGTGGGTTTTTTCGGCAAATTGCGCATCTATATCTACTTTTTGTTTGAAGAATTAAAAAAATAATAGTTATTCTCCTAACGCTAAAATAAACGACGAAGGACGAGTCATTTATATCAATTTAAAATACAAATGTGACGTCACCCTTTGATGTTGGCGTACCATTATTTCAAATAATCGTACGGGCAACTTGCCAATCG